GAGGTGGTTTTTCGGCCATATTGAAATTGATGTATTTCGCAAAACTGCAATAGAAACACTTTTTTCGCATCACGGGAGTCACGTGATCAAGAACAGTCTGTTTCTACTGGCAAAAAAGATGACAAAGAAGATAAAATGAAGTAAATGTAGTAGTGAAATCACCAAGTAGTAAAAGAAAGTATTAAACTCACCGACTACATTTTCCCAAAAGCATCGCATACGTAGCCACTCCCAAGTATAAGGGGCTTGTCACTCGAGAGCCTCGATAAGATGCTGACGTCACCTCTAATGGCTGATGATGAGCGCTAGTGTCACGGTAGAAATATGCTATGTGTTTACATCCATTGCTGCCATGTTTGTAATGACTTATCGCGAGAACAAACATGTTCACGTGTGAATTTAATAGCATTTCTTACTTAATGGAAACACCGCAATTGCAAAACGGTTTTTCGACATTAACAGAATATTGACAAAGTTTTGTGCACATTTGCAATGGAAATGCAGCTGGTGTTTCTGATGTAAACATAGGATCAGAGCAATTTTTTAAACTCATGTCTCTTATTGTGTATTTCCACGCTGCAAAAAGGTAGCAAGACCTTGTTGCACATGACCTGTTCACCTGTTCCCCAAAGTTTTTGTCAGGTGTTTTTCTTGAATGGGTGACCTTAACTGCTTTTCGTTCTACATTGCATCCCTGATGTTATGTTTGGATGACAATAAAGCGAATCTGAATCTAAATCTTTTGCCCGTCACTTTAAAGCTACAGCTGAATTAAGCTCTGTTCAATTATGTAAAAAGGATCATATGAAAATCACAAGTTTGCTTTGCCAAACATTCACTTTGCCCTTAAACTCAGGATAAAAGAGTTCAACTGCAACTCATTCATGTCTCCAGTTCTAGTTGATCCAGTCCTTTTCCACTCCTAATATTCCACTTTATTCAGAGTGACACAGCATAACACAGGTCAGAAGCATTTAATTCTGTGGATGCCATCATTGTATACCTCCCACAAGTGAATCCAGAGAGCATCGCCACATTGGACTGTTGCTTTACTGTAAAATATGCATGTGACCGTGAATGTGTTATGCATGAGTTGATTAGCACTCATGCATAATTCAGATGTAACACACACACACACACACACACACACACACACACACACACACACACACGATAACCTGAAGTGAAAAGAGATTAACAAACAGAGAGCTGAGAGACAGAAAGAGTCATCGTTGGCTCAGATGCTTGTAGCTCAAACAAACAGATTTATGACTGAAGTAAAAGATGAATACATCAGTAAATACTGAGGATAAAAAGCCTAAAAACACCAAAGTTATTTTTTATTAACCCTGGACCAAAACCAAAACTCAAAGCAGACATGATTAAAAAGTTCCAGCTCCTTTTGCATTTCAGTGATTTACCCTAAAAGTTTTTTTTTCTTTAAATTTGATTAGCTTTTGAAATGTAATTTTCATTTTTAAAATCAGAAGAGTTGAAGCACCAGGAGTCCCTCACATCTCGGTCCATTTGTTGAGCTCGTATCGCCTTTGCTTTGTTTTTGTATCATCTGGTTTAACTTTTAACTGATGTCTTCTGGAATCAAAATTCTTGTGCAGAGTTGCTGTCATCAATGATAAATTGCTGCTCTGTATGGAGTCAGATATCCTGCTGTTGTCAAAAATAAAGTCCAATAGTTTTAAGGCAAAGTTAGTACCTTTTTRATTACACTACAAATTAAACTGCTAGTGCACAATAGCTTCCATTTTGTTGCATCATTATTACACTGCATTCTGTTGAAGGAGTGTAGAGGGGGAAATGAGGAGATGCAATAATGACAATGAGTGAAAGGACAATCAGACGATGTTGCTAATTTCCTCTGGGTACATGATGTTGTGCTAACACGCAGCAGTGGTTAGAAATTAAACACCTAGAGATTAAAAGTGTGAGAACTTCCTGTCTTTTTTGATCGTCTCATTAGTAGCAGAGTGACGCAAAAACCCTCAGCTTTGTTCAGAAATAATGTGTCTGTTTTACCCTTCTTTATAAATACAGTTTACCTTCAGGTTTTATCATTTCATCTTTGTCTCGCTCTAAGTGCCATGCCAGAGGGCGTTGGCGACCATGGTTCTGTATTCTTTACGGTCTTTTACATGTAGGAAGTTTGTAGATGTCGTGCTCAAAAAATGGCTCAAGCTGTTTGTCAACTTCTCCCCGTCCTCAGCAACTTCTTCTTCCTTGTATTTTTCTAGTTGACACAAACTGCTCTAACCCTTCTCTCCTGTAAAAAATGACCTGTTGGTCCTGTCTCAGCATGATCCTTTCATAAAAAGGATATTTTCTCTTTTGCTCGTTAACACGTCTTCATTGGTGATTCTGTTGGAGTACAAGATCTTGAGTATTCTTCTTGAAAAAACGCATTTTCTGTAGCATTTATGATGCCAACACTTTTTTGGTTCATGGTCAAAGCTTCACTTTTATTTTCATAATTGGGTTTCAGAAAGAAATCCCATTTTGTTGTATTTTTTATTGAAGTTTGTCAATTTTCATGAAACTCAATGTACTTTTTCAGACTGAACTGTGAAAACCTTGATTAATTAATCATATACCAAGATATTTTATGTGAAAATATGGCTGCAGCAAAGGCCTTATAGCAGGGGTGTCAAACTCATTTTCACAGAGGGCCATATGAGTATTATGGTGGTCCTCAAATGGTCAGTTGTGATTAGTTTTGACGTTTCTTGTTTAGCTTCAACTTCAATRTCACATTCCTCRTCTCATAGCTAAGGCTGAGCATTGCGAATGTCGTGGCAAGTTTTACCAAGAATGCAGAAACACGTTGACATAAATGCACAGAAATTCAGCGTGTATGGTCGTCAAATGATTTACTTCTGAGCGACAACAAARCAGACGATCAATCAGRAAATCTGTTGAGTCGYGGCTGACTCGTCAGCAGAGAGCAGCCAATAATATAACATGATAACATCATGTGACAGTTTGCAACCAATCACAGTCCGACAAATGTAACCACCTAGCCAATAACAGGGCTCTCAGCTCAAGAGCTACCTTATCAAAAGTAAGGGAGGTCATGGATTGCTGGAGTCTTGGCGTCTGGGGCAAACAGATTAAAATAGCCGAAAGTAATTATCATAAGATATGAGTACTGGACAGTGTCAAGGTGAAACAGATATAAATAATTAGTCCATAACAGCGAACATCCAATAACTGAGCTCTATGTGGCATTTCGTGCATAGAAGCAGCATTTAATGTGTCCTCTTATAAACACTAAAAATTACTATGTGTGCGACTGATGAAATGTGAAATAAATATACAGAAATCCTATAAAAGTACGAGTTTTTGTTTTAATTTGTAACAGCAAACTATCTTAACCACATCTGATTTGTCAAATTTATTTTAGACTAATTTCGGTTTCTTCCTCTTTGCTTTCCCACTTTTCTAACTTCCTGTTATGTCAGATGTTGTTATTTTTCTGCCTCTAACAGCAGGAGTTGCGCTTGTAAAAAATTATTTTCTTTATGCATCATTAGAAGCAAAGCCAACTAAATTGGCAGCAGGGCTTAGAAGCAGCATAGAAAATAACCCATTAGCTGCAGCAACAAATCAGCCACCAGCGCCTGCAGCAGACAGACCTGACCTTGCTCCCACAGTCACCCAGCAGGTCTTAAGCTGTCAAGAGGTCAGGCTGAGTTCAATCAACAACTGGTTAAAATTAACTTTCTGCTGTTTCCTTCCTGGAATTGCCAATAAGTGTTTCACTCACCAAGTGTGCCAGTACACAGCAATTTAGATGTTAGATGGGCAACACGCTTATGCTTCACATGTGTCAAACTCAAGAGGTGACTTCCGTCCAGCCCGTTAGATTTATTTAAATAACCCTGTATTAATGTCTCAAAATAAGCTGCTTCAAAACCAACTTTCATTATAAACTACATGACTCATAATGCATGTTCATTATGCCYGGGATTTCCCTGTTGGAAAGTGGGAGAGTTTAGAATTCAAGACGTACCATTGTTAGTGAGGCTAGGATAATTACACAAAACAGCACAAGAGTGAAGATGATGGGCGGCACAACCCCCCTTATGATGGGAATATCTCAGCTGAATCCACATATATATTCATATATGTGGACACACATGAGAAAAACAGACAAGTCATTGCATTTTAAAATATCCACCTGGATCTGTGAGCAGCTGAGCAGCCGAGGCACAATGACACAGAACATACAGAAACAGCTGAAATTAACAGGGAGAACTGGGGCAACTTCTTTAAGAGGCTAAGAAACTTGTGATTAAACAATGTCTGCAAAAGATGCATGAAATATTTAAAAGGGTTTTGATTTATATAATTTTTTTGCATCTACAGTGTTCCTAATGTCTAAAACTGGAATACAGGACTTGACGATATGATGCAGTGTAAAATTTTGTGACCGGGCAAAGCCGTGTTTACAACTAAAGAAAATTGATGAATTGCACTTCAAAAATCAAGCAAAAAAGCGTAAAGAAGCAATCTGACTCACTAGGGAGAGAAACAAATAAAAATGCTCCTGCRGCAGTTTTATTAGAGCGGCAAAGGTCAAGATGATCAAATCTTACGAAAATTAATGAATTTTTCTGAAAAAAAAAAAAAGATTAATGAGATTAAGTATAGACTGTTTACTTGAAACTACAAGATGTATTGATGAACACATGAAGCAGGTGATGAAAACAAAGGAGAGAAAAGATGATGAGGGTGTGGAAGAAAGGACAAAGGCAGCGAGATTATCTTGGAAAGTTTAATTGGGAAGAAGGTCTCAAACCTCCAGAGCTTCGACACACTAATGAGCTGTTAGCTGATTAACACACTAGTGTGTGTATATGTGTGTGTGTGTGTGTGTGTGTAAAATGTAAAGCCCCATGAGGACTGAGACCCTCCAGTAACTCAGACTACAATAAAAGCAGGTTTTAACCTTCAAACAGCACAGATATGTAAGCCTCAGAACTGACCTTGTCTGCATGAAACCACTTTCCACCACGATACTCAACAGCTGTTAGAGTCCAACGGTTTAATCTGCAAATTTAAAAAAGTATACTCTTAATAAAAATGTGCAGGAATAAAAACATGCAATTCAATTTTTAAATAATTTATCTAATTTAGCCAAAGCCATGTTGACAATCGCATTTTAAAAAATTAATGAAACACATTAGTTTGAATATTCATAAACAATRTTTAACCACTGAGGTTGAAAGTAAATAAACATTTTAGAAGAACAAACGAACCACTAATTTACACTAAACAATTATGTCATTTACAGTTGCACATTACCACCTTCCATCTGCTGCTGTTCATCCACTGGGTTTACAATGCATTCAATTATAAAAAAAAAGGCGTCAAGAACAGCTGCAGGACCCAACGCTTCAGTGGGAAACAGAACTTTCATCAGACTTGCTGTGCTGGACGTATTTAACAAATAAGGCAAAGTCTGACCCAGTTCTCACAGATTGGCAGGYTGAAGCATTCAAACCCGACAACAGTTCTCTCACTCAGAACAGAAAATGTCACGTCTTTATATTTTGCACATTTTTTAGATATTTTCACACAGCTGTTCAGCAATATGGCTGGAAAGATAAGTGCTCCAACAATCAAGCCCATCCTGCTGCAACGTCTACGTTTGTGAATAGGGCTGCCACAAAACTATAATTTTTATAGTGGATTAATCACCGACAATTTTTTCGATTAGTCGACTAATCGGATCATACTTTAATTGAATATAAAACACACAGCTTACTGCGCCAGAATGCAGCTGCTATTATATAACCATGGTTAGATTTTAGCTATATGCTAACTAAAAATAATTGCCGTGGAAGGCAAGTTCTGCYYTGCAGATATTRYACAGGTTTCTCTTTCATTTTCWTAAAATGATCCCACACTTTTGAGCTSCRTTGYCRGGTAGCCATGATACCAGAGCCTGTCTGTATAATGTCTTGTGACGTCCACGGCCTACCCCAGTTACCACTACTGTGCATGTGTGTCAAGGACAGAAAGGCAGATGTGGCAGTGGAAGGTGTCAAAGCAGTTTGGAGAGAAAAACAAAGTAAAGAACAAAAAAATGATTTATCGATTATGAAATTAGTCATCGATTATTTTAATCGACTAAACGTGGCAGCCTTATTTGTGAATGAAGTCGGCATCAAACTGAACTGTTGGACAAGTGGATCAGAACTCAGCAGACTAAGTATAAAACGGGCTGTCTTACCCTCACACATACAAAACGTTTTGACTCTGTGACTACTAGAGTTGGGCAAAATCGTATCATGTGAAATTATTTGTCAGAAAAACATACGACTGTTATTAATAGGCACTTGGCAATAAATACAATTAATGCCACCAGGTGGACCAATCAAGGATTTCCCCAATCAGTCCTCTCATCGATGAACTCCACACGACTTTCACGTATTTTAATTTTTAATTTTTGCTGCTTGTCACATAATTTCAGGCGTCGGTCTGAAAGGAGTTTGGGGGTTTTAGGTTTGTTTGGAAGGGTGGGGGTTGAGGCCAGAGGGTGGGTTGAGGTGTTTTTTTCATGAATCTACTCGTGTTTCACTGCGACAAGCTTCATGATGAACATCACATAAAAAGTGCTGTAATCATTTATCACAACTTTGGTTTTGACTGCTGTATAACTTAAATTCTGCACTTTTGAACAGGCTACGTTCACACTGCAGGTCTTAATGCTCAATTCTGATTTTTTGAAAAAAAAATCAGATCTTTTGCCATAAACATTCACATTACATTTTAAATGAGACCTGCATCAGACTTCAGTGTGAACGCTACACAAGCGCTGATGTGACAAGCATGTGCAGTAAAAAACGTGACTTTTCAGTCAGCCGGCTTGTTTGTTTACAGAGTTAGCCTGGATGCTACTTTTTGAATCTGAAGTTGTTGTTCARTCAGAGCCGATTAAATAATTATCTGACACGTTTGTTTAGTTCAGTGTTTATATCTGAACCTGCCTCTGACCGGATACTCCAGTGAAGCTTCTTATTTTTGAAATGAAGCAACGAGCTGTAAATAAAGTATCAACCGAGTAACTTTAGGATCGATACRCTCCATGACCCAGACTGGACGTTATTATCTACATGGAAAATTTAAAGTAAAAAGATGAAGCAACTGGACTTGTGTTTTGGAGCTGTAAACACGTGGAGCTGCAGATTTAAACAGCGTGACTTGAGGTTAGCGTCTTATTGATCCTACACCCCCACCTCTCTGACGAAAAGTCGGATGGAATGCGACACGAGCGTTCACACTGCAGTTGCTTTGAAAACATCAGATATGTATCAGATTTAGAACCCCATACTGAAACGGCCTGGGTCGTGTTTTAAAAAAAAAAAAATCAGATTTGCCGCGTTTAGACTGTCATAAAAAATCAGATATGGGTCGCATGAGGCTAAAAAAAAAAAAAATCAGATATGGGTCTGCAGTGTGAACTTAGCCAAAGATTGTAACAGATTCTTATAGAGAGCATCTCTTTCCCATTTGAGTGATTTAAACCAGTCATGTGACCAGGACGTGCTGGGGTCCAGGGGCTCCAGGGGATTAATCTTCAAATTARTCGTTATTGGCTAAATATCTCAATCGTTATAAATTTAAAAAAAAACTACCTCCCATGGCAGTTCAAAAGCATGAAAGCAGCAACACGATGTGCTAATCTGTACTGACTTGCTGTTTCAGAAACTTAATATTCTGCATGCAGTGTGCTTCTGATACAGGCCCAGCAAAGCATATTGGTTTGAAGAGTGCGCTAGTTTAGCATGGAATTCTAGCTAAACCAAATAAAAAGGTGTTTTACATTTAAGATTGATTGCAAGGAACTAGTGTGCATTATTTTAATTCTTACAAGGGAAAGCATGTAATTTCGGAATAAAAACATTAAATCTTCTGTTGTTCTCGCCATGTACCCTACCTCTGTTTGGAGCCCATTTTCCTGAGGAAAATAAATTGTTTCTCAGAAGAAAAGAGAGGCCAAACAAGAGTAAAGCCACACTAAAGCAGTTTAGCATCTAAAGCACAAAGACAGCACCCAAGGGCTCTGTAATAGAAGCACTTTATCTGTCAGAGGCRGCGTCCAATACAATTAAAGTCTTATATTATAGTGTTGAGAGGGCTGACAGTAAAACTCAGGCYTTAGGACCGGAGTTGTATTTTCAGGCTGATTACAAAGGCGATTTAGCCTTCACACCTGATTCTCAGAGGACTAACCAAGGCCACTCTGTCTGCCGGCCTCACACAGCTGTACAGGATCAGCAACCTGCCTGTAACACACCTGTTATTCATCCGGCTCCGCTCACAAACTCTGGAAAGTCATTTACAGGAACAATCCACTGATTATGTCCCTCTCAAAGGCTGCAGTCTGATCTCTGCCCTGGTATTTTCATAAAGAATGAACAAATACAAAAACACCAGTAAAAATATTTTTTTCATGAAGTAAAAAAATTAAATGTATGAAAACTGTTGGCAGAAACTAAAGTACCTTGTTCAAACGTCAAACATTTACAAGAAAATAAACTATTAGATTCATCAAAACAGTAGACTGCTATTAAATTTAAGCAGAAAGCATCAGACGGGGTGTGCACCCATTAATATTTTTTTTTACAGAATCACTGCCCAGATGTGTTTAATCAAACCACAAGCTTTCATTTGAGTTTCTGTAGAAAATGAACTTAAGAGTTTAAATGTCTTAAAACCAGATCAGCAGAACAAAAACGGGACAAAGAACCTGCATTTGTAAGTTGTAAAATCAATTAAAAACATATAAAGGCTATTTAAACCCCTTTTCGCATTGTTTTAAGCTCATCTGGGCTAAACCTGCCAGCAGTTCTGTCACGCTGATAAAAGAAGCATTTCGCAATGAAAGCAGGCAGATGCAGTTGAAGCTTGGTAAATAACTTACTACTTGGCTAATGTGGCTTGCAGCACTTCAGCCCTCTTGGCTGAGAAGTCACAGTCGAGTGCAACACTTTAAACCACAGTGAGACAATCAGGGCATATTAAGCAATTGAAAGCTTCCATTAAAAAAATAATTTAAAAAAATCGGGTCACTTTCTTAGTAATTCAGCACATTTAAATGCAAATATTTATTTATAGAAAAGAAAGATGCTCTGACACTAAAGAAAAACCTATTTTAATATTAAAAACATTAAGTAAAAACCAAGACACCAGCCTGATTGGTCAAATAATTTTGGGGGATCCTTGAGATTCTAATGTGTGAACTATAATAACATTCTGMAATGAAACTACACTGTTAAAAGTCTTGCCCTCAATTAGTTATAACGTTTTTTCTATAAGTTACTTCCAATTAACATAATAAGTTATGAAATTTCAACTTAATTTCATGAGGTATTGGCATTTCAACTCAAGGAAGTGAGTCAGTTCAGTGGAATGTAAATTTAAATGTGTGAACATAACTTAATAATCTGAGTTTTAAAATTGTAACCAGATCTTATAAAAACTGATCACTTGCAATATTAGTCCGCGCTACAAATAGCGCCGGAAATTTGCTCTTTTATCCAATAAGGGACTAAATATAAAATTTAGTTAGACTTTATAAAGTTTTCCATTCCAGTTACAGCTATTAAATGAAGAAGAGGAACACCACCTGACCARATTAAAGACGTTRAGAGCAAAGTCGCGGATGAATACATTTTTTCMAACAAGACCTCGATCCGTCTCGGAAGCATAAAGTTTGGCGGGGGTCAGGCATTTTGTGAACGCGAACCAAACCGAAGTGAGGAGAGACGGAGCCGTAGGACATTAAAACAACAGCTTGTTAATTGTCAAGCGAGGGAAGGAGTTAATGCAGATTAATTTAGCCTTCACCCCAATTCTTTTTACAGTGTAGGGCTGCACAATATATCGAAGATTTATTGTCATTATGATAACAGCCTGTGCAATATGCATATCGCAAAAAAACTGCATAAACTGCAATAAACGTTTGGCTCAAAAACTTGCCTTTATGCATTTTGTCACCAATCAAATGGAGCCTTTCATGTATTTGGCCAATTAAATAGATC